GGTCATGAATTGGTTAATTTGACAGTTCATAGTGAACGCATCTCTGCTTCACACCGTAATAATTGTGTTTGTGTAAAAACGTGCTTGGATTTAGATGCCAGTAGAAATAACAGCGCCAGCTCCCCCCCCCCCCCCCTCCGCTTCTCTTTTCCCTGCGTCAGCTCGTCTTCAGCACCACGGTCAGCGACCGTCAAGACGAGCTGCATTGCCGTGGTAACCTGCCCTGTTTAGCTCCCTTTCTACATGCATTTCAGTATTCCGACATGTGCACCACCCTCATTTGCACAACGTCTATGCTGTTTCTTGACATCGGATGAATAAAGGGTCTGCAACCACCGCCGTTGTCCTTTAAGCGTTAGCTACAATTGTGTGCTTTCCAGGCGCTTTCACTGCTGCAGCAGGAATGAACAAAAATGGCGACCTGAATGTGAGGACGTGGCGCAGAATGCTGCAGAGCCTGTGCGTGCGCGCGCATTCCCGTGGTCTACATTCAGAATTATTAAGTAGCAGAAGGAGATGGGAGGGATGCGAACATAAAAATAAATAAATAAATAAATAAATAAATAAATAAATAAATAAATAAATAATAATAATAATAATAATAATAATAATAATAATAATAATAATAATAATAATAATAATAATAATAATAATAATAATAAAAATAAAACATGGAGGTCACCTTCATTTTACTCTGCTGTAAGGAGCCAGGTTGTGTTTTTCTCTTTTGTCGGTATACATTATGTATTGTATATGCACCACAGAGGCTAAATAGAAAAAAAATGAAAAAAAAGAGAGAGGAGAGAGTTACAACAGGGCGGTGTTTATCATGGCTGCACTTCAAGTTTGAAACCACAAGATGCCGTCGCTCACCTCAACATGACATTGAGTACGGTGGGAGTGTGCAGAGCAAGCCCCACATAGGCAGATAAATTGAGAATGGAAATGTATTTCAAAAGATTTCAATTAGATACGACATGTTACACATGTTTATGCATAAGCAGTCGCTGGAAATAACATAGGTATGGAATAAAGTTTGTACCTAAATTATTCACAACTGAATTACTGGGTTCCAAAAATTTTGGGCTAATTATCTGTTAAAGTTATTAACTTTTACTTCATGACTAATTTATTTATTTATTTATTTATTTATTTATTTATTTATTTATTTATTTATTTATTTATTTATTATTATTATTATTGTTATTATATTATTATTATTATTATTATTATTATTATTATTATTATTATTATTATTATTATTATCATTTAAATTATGTGGATCATTTGTAGATTTTGTCTATTTTGATTTACACTGTGTGTATTTTGCAAATAGTTTTCTTATATTTTTGTTTGATGTACTAAAGAAACAAAGATTTGTGCATTGCATTCTGGAGAAAGCGGGTAGATATGTTCATGTTTTATTTAAATTTTCCACTTTCTATCTTAACGTTCATATTATTTAGTTTTCATAGTGATTGTACTGATTCGGGTGGTAAAATGTAATAAAGATCCTTAAAATTACCCGTTTTTTTATGGCTCTCCTAATTTTCTTGGAATATACTGCATGCTCAGCAAGATGACAGGCTGAGCTGGAAGGAACCATCGCGCCTTCACGGACAGAAGGTGGTGCTGATGCACTTAATTTGATTGAGGTAGAAAATGTGTATCTTTCTTTTCATGTGTGTTCAGTAACAACCGTAATGGACGGCTTGAAAGGACGGAATAAAGCACCTTCCCTCTTCTGCTAAAATAATTATTTACTTGGGATTTATTGCTTTTACTTCATTCAAAAGAAATTTACCACAAAGAAGGAATTTTGTTGAAAGACACATTTTCAGGAACAATGGAATTGACGGAGATGAAAAAACAATGGATGGACGTATGGACTTCGTTTTGTCTCGCGCTGATCATTACGAAATTTGAAGGAATTTCATCTCAGCTCCGATATTCTGTCCAGGAGGAATTAAAATCTGGGACCCCGGTGGGAAATGTAGCCAAAGATCTTGGTTTAGATCTGGGGAAACTGGCGGACAGAAACCTTCGAGTGGTATCAGCAACAAAGCAGGATCTGTTTAAGGTAAATCCGAGAGATGGCGTTTTATTAATAAACCACAGAGTAGACAGAGAAGAGCTTTGCGCAAAAACCGTTCCGTGTGTAACAAACCTTAAAGCTGTTGTCGAAAACCCTCTTGAAATGCACCAGATCATGCTTGAGATTCTCGATGTAAATGACAACTCGCCCAAATTTCCAGAGGAAAACTACACACTGGAAGTGCTGGAGTCCGCTATTGTTGGTTCTCGATTTCAGGTCGACGGAGCACACGACTTGGATGTCGGGTTGAACTCCATAAATTCATATAAGCTGAACAATAATCAATATTTTCGACTGGATACAGACGCCTTTGGGGAGGAGGGAAAGGTTCCTTTTTTAGTACTTCAACGCTCTTTGGACAGAGAACACACTCCTCAACACTCGCTGCTATTAACAGCGACAGATGGGGGTAAACCAGCAAAATCAGGAACTATGAATATCACTGTCATACTATCGGATGTTAATGATAACGCGCCCGTTTGTGAAAAACAAAAATACACCGCGACAGTAAAAGAAAACGCCCCTGTCGGGACTTTCCTCTTAACCATAAGTGCAACCGACTCAGATGAAGGCGAGAACGGTGAGGTTGAATATTCTCTGAGGAGTAAACATCGTGGGCCATCATCTGAGCAGTTTGAGTTGAACAGCAAAACCGGGAAATTAACGGTGAAAGGACAACTGGATTACGAAGAAAAACAAATGTACGAGCTTAAAGTTTTGGCCTCAGACAAAGGTTCTGTTTCTCTCTCCACGCAATGTAACGTGGTTATAAGAGTGGAAGACGTAAATGACAACCAGCCCGAAATAGACATTACGTCCCTCTCCAGTCGTATTCCAGAGGATGCAGCACCTGGAACCGTGGTGGCGTTGATGGACGTGACAGATCGTGACTCAGGTGTGAACGGACAGGTGGTGTGCAGCTTGTCAGATTCTTTACCGTTTGATCTGAAGCCATCACCTGACGGACAGTCGTACTCTTTGATTACAAAGGACTACTTAGATAAGGAAATTAGTCATATGTATGACATTACAATAACAGCAAAGGATTTAGGCAGCCCTTCTCTGTCATCGACTAAGCTGATACAGGTAGACGTGCTGGACGTAAATGATAACAGCCCTTTGTTTGCTGAAAGTCCTTATGCTTTTTATGTACCTGAAAATAACAAGGCTGGACTGTCTATTTTTTCTGTAACAGCCACTGATGCTGACGGAGGAGAAAATGCGGTAGTTACATATTTCCTTAACCGTAAGAGTTCGGGATCCTCTGTAACCTCCTTTTTAAATATAAATGAAGCCAATGGCACAATATCAGCTCTGAAAAGTTTCGACTTTGAAACTCTAAAAACTTTCCAGTTCCAAGTTGTCGCCACTGATTCTGGGACTCCGTCACTCAGCAGCAACGTCACAGTGAACGTGTTCATTTGGATCAGAACGACAACGCTCCAGTCATCCTGTATCCACTCAGCTCCAATGGTTCTGCTGAAGGTGTGGAGGAGATTCCACGCAACGTGAACGCAGGACACTTGGTGACTAAAGTCAGAGCCTATGACGCTGATATAGGATATAATGGCTGGTTGCTGTTTTCACTGCAGGAAGTTACTGACCACAGTCTGTTTGGTTTGGACCGATACACTGGACAGATCAGAACACTTCGCTCATTCACCGAGACAGACGAGGCTGAACATAAACTGGTCATACTGGTCAAAGATAATGGCAACGTTTCACTATCAGCAACAGCTACTGTGATTGTTAAACTGGTGGAGCCAAAAGAGGCTTTTGCAGCTTCTGATGTTAAAAGTGCAGCAAATGACGATGAAGGTAATGATGTGACTTTTTATCTGATGATCACTTTGGGTGCAGTTTCTATTCTGTTTATCGTCAGTATCATCGTGCTGATTGCAATGCAGTGCTCCAAATCCACAGACTATACTTCTAAATATCTCCAAGAGACTAATTATGATGGGACGCTTTGTCACAGCATCCAGTACAGATCTGGAGACAAACGCTACATGTTAGTTGGACCCAGGATGAGTATTGGATCTACTATTGTACCCGGAAGTCATGCAAACACGTTGGTGCTACCTGACAGAAGGAAGGCCTGTGAGGTAAGACATGATTTCTGCTTATGCTTATAAAAATATCAGTTATTAAAGTAGAGAACAGTTTTAACCTGTATTTGCCAAGAGAAGTAGAAGAGGTCTTCATCATTGTTATTATTATTATTATTTCATTTTTTTAATGATATTTATTTGGATGTTGCTTTCTAAAGTTTACTTTTAATTTCTGATATGTTGCTGACTTCTTCTTGCGCTGTCCATGGTGCTAGAATATTTGGTTTCGAAAAACTCATTCGGCATTTTCTTTGTCTGGGAAAGCAAGACTCCACCGCATTTCCTGTAAAGGCCTATAAGAAAATGCCATTAGTGGTATTTTGTGTGTAAATGAAGATTTTTTTTCTCGTTCGGGGGGATGTGAAGCATGTAGTTTTACAAAATAAATTAATTTCATCAGCTCAGAACGTTTCAATATTTGCAATATGACTACATGTATCTGATGCAAAATAATGAATGAATGAATGAATATTACTAAAAAATATACACAATGCAAATTATATTTTCTGTTCAAATAAGAGTTTAAAACCTTTCATAACATTGTTGTAAAGATCACTTGAGTTGTTGTTATTCCTTTCCACAAAGAGACGGGAGCCTTTGGTTTGGTATTAGATTGAATGTCTTTTACGGATGCCAGTAGTAAAGTAAAATAAGAAACTGGTTTCATGTACTGTATTTCCGTTGCCACTTGGTGTCAGTGTGGCCTTGACCATTTTTTGTGCGACTTGTTAAGGCTCTGCCTCGTTTGTGTCGATATATGAAACAGAAGTGGTGTGCGGACGAAATGTTCATCGCAGCAGGGTTAATTGAAGGAAGCAAGTCCTTTTTACGCAGAAATCTTTAAAATGACATTTGGAATACTGTTTTAACGAGGAAGCATCCATGAACATCGGACATCTCCGTTCATTTGTAGGGAAAAATGTCACATATTCATTTGGCAATGAAGGACGGAAGACAAAGGCGCCGGCTGAGCTATTGGTGGTGTGCTGGGATTTTTCTGCTGTGCTCTGTGGATACGATTTTGGGTCAGCTGAAGTACTCCGTTTCTGAGCATGTCGGTGTCGGAACCGCGGTTGGGAATGTTGGCAAGGATTTGGGACTGGACCTCAACACTTTGACAAGCAGACGATTTCGCATTGTTTCGAACTCAAATCACTCCCTGTTTGAATTAAACCAAAATAATGGAGTGTTGCGCGTCGCGCAAAATATGGATCGGGAAGAGCTGTGTGATGCAACAAAGGTTTGTTTGATAAACCTTAAAATTGTCGTCGAAAGCCCACTGGAAATACATTATGTCAGTGTCGAAATAATTGATATCAATGACCATTCGCCGTCTTTTCCTGAAACCGAGCAGCGGCTGGAAATAGCGGAGAACACTCCTCCGGGCACTCATTTCCAGATTCACGCAGCTAGAGATCCTGATTTTGGCATACAATCAGTTCGATTGTATAGACTGAGTCAAAACGATTACTTCGATATTCAAGTTAAAGAACGAGAGGAAGATAAAATACCATTTTTAGTGCTTAAAAAATCCCTAGACCGAGAAGTCAAATCAGAGCATCGTTTAGTGTTAACGGCTCTGGACGGGGGCACACCATCGCGATCTGGAAACCTGAATTTAACTATAACTGTATTGGATGTGAATGATAATCGCCCTGTGTTCAGCAGCGATATTTATACTGTCTCTTTAAATGAAAATGCTCCTCCAGGAAGTCTAGTAATCAAAATAAATGCGACCGATTCAGACGAAGGCCTGAATGGTGAAATAGAGTACACCTTTGGAAAAACACAAAAGAAAAAGGTGTATGACATATTTGAGTTAGATGGTATCACTGGTGAAATTCGAGTAAAAGGAAAAGTTGACTTCGAGGAAACAGAGATATACAAATTAGATTTGCAAGCTTCAGATAAAGGCCAACCACCATGGACAGGCGAAAGCAGAGTTGTAATAAAATTAAAAGATTTGAACGACAATAAACCCGAGATTGAAATAACATCATTGTCCAGCCAAATTCCAGAGGATTCAAAACCTGGCACTGTTGTCTCACTCATCAGTGTCAGAGACAGAGATTCGGGCTCAAATGGAAAAGTTATTTGTAAAATATCGGAAGATGTGCCGTTTGATTTGACGCCATCTATTGAAGAGAACATGTACTCTCTAGTTACAAAGGGGCGGTTAGATCGTGAGGCTGAATCTCCTTATGACATCACCATAACTGCTACTGACTGTGGGGAACCCAGGCTTTCCGCAGCAACGACTTTGCAAATTCATGTGTCAGATATTAATGACAACAGGCCAGTCTTCAGTCAGAATCCATTTGAAATCTATCTAGTAGAAAACAATGCACCAGGTGTCTCGGTCTTTACAATAACAGCATCAGATGAAGATGTGAGCGAAAATGCAGTCATAACTTATAGCATTAGGAAAAGCGATAGGATTAATGGTGATGTAGCACATTTTTTTAACATCCATTCCGAAAACGGACATATATCTGCACTGAAAAGTTTCGATTTTGAAACTCTGAAAACTTTCCACTTCCAAGTTGTCGCCACTGATTCTGGGACTCCGTCACTCAGCAGCAACGTCACAGTGAACGTGTTCATTCTGGATCAGAACGACAACGCTCCAGTCATCCTGTATCCACTCAGCTCCAATGGTTCTGCTGAAGGTGTGGAGGAGATTCCACGCAACGTGAACGCAGGACACTTGGTGACTAAAGTCAGAGCCTATGACGCTGATATAGGATATAATGGCTGGTTGCTGTTTTCACTGCAGGAAGTTACTGACCACAGTCTGTTTGGTTTGGACCGATACACTGGACAGATCAGAACACTTCGCTCATTCACCGAGACAGACGAGGCTGAACATAAACTGGTCATACTGGTCAAAGATAATGGCAACGTTTCACTATCAGCAACAGCTACTGTGATTGTGAAACTGGTGGAGCCAAAAGAGGCTTTGCAGCTTCTGATGTTAAAAGTGCAGTAGCGGAGAATCAGGAGGATAATGTGACGTTTTACCTGATGATCACTTTGGGCGCAGTTTCTATTCTGTTTATCGTCAGTATCATCGTGCTGATTGCAATGCAGTGCTCCAAATCCACAGACTATACTTCTAAATATCTCCAAGAGACTAATTATGATGGGACACTGTGTCACAGCATCCAGTACAGATCTGGAGATAAACGCTACATGTTAGTTGGACCCAGAATGAGTATTGGATCTACTATAGCACCTGGAAGTCATGCAAATACACTTGTGCTACCTGACAGGAGGAGAACAGAAGAGGTAAGACAATTATTTTTTCAAAAACTTTTTTTATTTGCATTTTTTTGCGGTTTACTTTTTGTCATTGTTAATGCGAAGCTATTCATATTTCCTCCCCGCCCCCAATTCTTTTAGCTTTTACTTTTGAAACACCAAAGGATTTTTGATAAATTGTGCTAGAATTTCTTTCAATTATTTTTTTCAATTTCTTTTCATGAATATATTTTCCTCCTCTCTAATGTATAACAACCAATTTTTTGCTCTATTTGAATGGAGTGAACTGAAAACACATTTCTGTTACGTTTTGTAGTAATGAATGAGTTGATCATCTTATTTTAGCGCATGACAAAAAATATTTATAACATCACATCTCTTTATCACTTTACCGGTAGTTATAAACAGCATAGTTTATTATTATTATTATTATTATTATTATTATTATTATTATTATTATTATTATTATTATTATTATTATTATGACAAGTATCACACATTTTTGGTCATTTTTTACTCATTAACTGTATAGTTTCATGAGATATGTAGTTGACATTTATTTGAAATAAAGTAAATCATTCAGTGCCAGCGATTACACTTTTAGGACACGTAACCAAATACATGTACGATAAACAATGTAAAGGTTTGAAACATAGTATGGGCAAGGACATGCAATTAAATGAATGTCTCTAAACAACAACAACAATAATATAAATAAAACATATTTAAACAAGCTTCCGTGATAAAGTGCCTTGTAATCAGTCCACAAGGTGTCAGTATCATATCAGCATATTTTGTTGTGTTATAGTGTTAGCCCTGCCCATTGCATTAAGGCTCTCTTTCATGTGAAGAGTAAAGACTCTTTCTTTAGATACAGATATTTGTCATCTTAGCCACTGCATGGATCGGTCAGAATGGATTCTATGCCAGCGTGATACTTGGAATCTAAAGTAGTTTTTTTGTGTGTAATGAACTGTGGTTGGATTTTTATATTTTCTAATCGGGAACGGAACCATGGACGCAGAAGGACAAAGCCGGGGAATGTGGTCTTTGTGGGCGGCTCTCGGATTTTCTGTCATCCTCGGCTGCACGCAGCTAATTTCAGCACAGATAAAATACGCAATTCCAGAGCAAGCGAATGTGGGATCTGTTGTTGGAAATATCGCCAAGGACCTTGGTGTGGACATCTCCACGTTGGAGGAGAGACAGTTTCGTATTGTTTCAGGAGCCGATGATGCTCAGTTTAAAGTAAATCCAAACAATGGCGCTCTGTATGTGCATGAAACAGTCGACAGAGAGAGACTATGTGAGAGTATTTCCCCGTGTATGATTAACCTGAAGATAGTAGCAGAAAATCCGATGGAGATACACTATGTTGGAGTAGAAATTACTGACGTAAATGACAATTCTCCGGTCTTTCAGGAGAAAGAAAAGATATTCGAAATTTTTGAATCCACTCCGCCAGGAAAACGTTTCCAGTTACCCACTGCTCACGATCCTGATGTCGCTCTAAATGCGGTGCGTGTTTACAAACTGACTCAAAGTGAACATTTCAGTTTACAAATCAGAGAAAGAGGAGAGGATAAAATCCCATTTTTGGTTTTGCAGAAATCTCTCGATCGAGAGAAAAAAAACGAGCACAGACTTATTCTGACGGCGTTAGATGGTGGAAATCCCCCGAGAACAGGTACTGTCAATGTTACAGTTGTTGTTCTCGATTCAAACGACAACCATCCGACATTCAGTCAAGAAGTGTACACGGTAACAATTCCTGAAAATACAAAAGCTGACATGAGTGTTATTACAGTTAATGCAGCGGATTTAGACGAAGGTGCAAACGGAGAAATTGAATATATTCTTGGTGGTGAACTTGATCGAAAAATATATGAAACCTTTAGTTTAGATAAAGCCACGGGTGAAATTAGAGTAAAAGGAGGAATTGACTTTGAAGAAGTTGATGTGTTTAAGTTAGACGTGCAGGCATCAGACAAAGGACACCCTCCAATGAGCAGTGACTGCAGGGTGATCATCAGAATCCTAGATGAAAATGATAACACACCTGAAATCGAGGTCACATCTCTTTCCAAGCAGGTTTCAGAGAACTCCAAACCTGGCACTGTAGTTTCTTTAATCAGTGTTACAGACAAGGATTCGGGTTTAAACGGTAAAGTCATATGTAGTCTTTCAGATGACATACCGTTTGATCTAAAACCATCGTTTCAAGATAATATGTACTCTTTAGTTTTAAAACAGCATTTAGATCGAGAGTCAGTTTCGCATTATGATATAGTCATAAAAGCAACTGACTGTGGTCACCCGCCCTTGTCTGCATTTAAAACTCTGAGTATTGATGTGTCAGATATAAATGACAATGCGCCGGAATTCGTAAATAATCCTATTGAACTTTATCTGACAGAAAACAATGTACCTGGAAACTCAATAATTTATGTAACTGCTTCTGATAAAGACTTGGAAGAAAATGGCGCTATAAGTTATCATTTAGTGAGACAGGAGGGAAGCACATCGAAAATCACTGCCTTTTTAAACGTTAATTCAGAAAATGGAGAAATATCTGCGCTGAAAAGTTTTGATTTTGAAACGCTAAAAACTTTCCACTTCCAAGTTGTCGCCACTGATTCTGGGACTCCGTCACTCAGCAGCAACGTCACAGTGAACGTGTTCATTCTGGATCGGAACGACAACGCTCCAGTCATCCTGTATCCACTCAGCTCCAATGGTTCTGCTGAAGGTGTGGAGGAGATTCCACGCAACGTGAACGCAGGACACTTGGTGACTAAAGTCAGAGCCTATGACGCTGATGTGGGATATAATGGCTGGTTGCTGTTTTCACTGCAGGAAGTTACTGACCACAGTCTGTTTGGTTTGGACCGATACACTGGACAGATCAGAACACTTCGCTCATTCACAGAGACAGACGAGGCTGAACATAAACTGGTCATACTGGTCAAAGATAATGGCAACGTTTCACTATCAGCAACAGCTACTGTGATTGTGAAACTGGTGGAGCCAAAAGAGGCTTTTGCAGCTTCTGATGTTAAAAGTGCAGCAAAGGATGAAGAGGAAAATGATGTGACTTTTTACCTGATGATCACTTTGGGAGCTGTTTCTGTTCTATTTATCATCAGTATCATTGTGCTGATTGCAATGCAGTGCTCCAAATCCACAGACTATACTTCTAAATATCTTCAAGAACCTAATTATGATGGGACACTGTGTCACAGCATCCAGTACAGATCTGGAGACAAACGCTACATGTTAGTTGGACCCAGAATGAGTATTGGATCTACTATAGTACCTGGAAGTCATGCAAACACTCTGATGCTGCCTGACAGGAGGAGAACTTCTGAAGAGGTAGGACATTTAAACTGGTTGATATTTAGGGAAATGCTCATTATTCTCTGCAAGCCCTAATGCATGTAAAAACAATCTTTGAAGAGGAGGAATACTCTCCAGGGTGCTGAAATCAAAGTTGTTCCTTTTTAATATCTATTAATTGTTTGTTTTTTTTAGCTTTCTTTTGCACAGTGAAATAGATAAAGAGTGCTTGCTAACAGTCTTTTTGGTTCAGCAGAGGCTTTCTAAACTCACTTTCATTTTTTAAAAATACACCCGGGGTACATACATAGGGGTCTATTATCATATCTTGGGACTAACAGATGTGGTTTTACGCATTTCTTTGGCTGTATTCATTTCAGTGATCTGTTGGTTTTTTCTGTTGTTTTTGTTAGTTTTTTTTGTTTATTTTTTTTAATAATACATTTATTATTTGAATCATACAGTTTACTTGTGACAAAACTGTTATTTTGAAGCAAAAAAAAAATATCCTTCATTCATACATTGTGTTTGGCAGTCCAGCATGTGAAGTTGGCCTACGTTTTCTTCATTAAATAGGATGTGAAAGAAATAATACTACACTGCATCCAATTCACAATGAAATAACTTGTTTTGGTCCATACATTTAAATTGATGCACCGATTAAACTCAGGGTGTCACTGCAGCATCGTGAAACGCTGGTGTTCCTTCCTCACCAAAGCTTTTGTTTAGCACGTAAAAGTCACTCATCGGGTTCGCGGTTTGCTTTGTGCCTCTTTGACATGTTCAGGCGAGACTCGAAGGTCTCATTTTTGCAATTTTATTTTTGATGATATGTATACAATTTGTGATAGGATGACGGGGACCTACAGGCGTTGCCAAAGACGGAATTGCAGTTCGCTTTTGCTTGGAATATTTTGTTTGCTTTTTGTCGGAAAGCGGGCCTTTGCTCAGATTCGATACGTGGTTCCAGAAGAGGCGAAAAAAGGATCAATTGTTGGAAACGTCGTCAAGGATCTTGGTCTTGATGTTTCATTGTTATCCAGTCGACGTTTTCGTGTTGTCTCCGGATCAAACGAAGCATTGTTTGAGGTGAACCAAGACACCGGGGATCTTCTTGTACAAAAGAAAATCGACAGAGAGGATCTGTGTCAGGGGAGTGGTGCGTGCTTAATGGACCTAAAAATTTTAGTCGAAAACCCTTTGGAAATGCACTATGTGGTTGTGGAAATCGCCGACGTGAATGATCACTCGCCGAGCTTCCCTGAAAAGGAGCAAGAGTTTGACATATTTGAGCAAACATTACCAGGGGCCAGATTTCAGCTGCACGCTGCTCGTGATCCTGATGCAGGATCCAACTCCGTTCGCAATTATATATTAACACCGAACGATCATTTTGAATTAGATATTCGTCAGAGTGATGATGATAAAATACCATTCTTGGTGCTAAAAAAATCGCTGGACAGAGAACAAAGAACGAATCATTTGCTACATTTAACAGCGGTCGATGGTGGTAAACCTCGCAGATCAGGGAGTCTGAATATTTCTATAATTGTTCTCGATAGCAATGATAACCGTCCAAAATTTAGCCAGGACACGTACGAAATTGAAATACAGGAAAATGTTCCGTTTGGCACGCTGCTATACAAACTAAATGCGACGGATCCAGATGAAGGCACAAACGGCGAAATTGAATACAGTTTCGGAAAAACACTTAAGAAAAAAGTTTACGAAATTTTTGAGCTCGACAAAAAAACAGGAGATATGAAAGTCAAGGGAATGCTGGACTATGAAGAACATGACGTTTATAGACTGGATGTTGAGGCAACAGATAAAGGGACGCCACCGTTAAAGGCCGTATGTCGCGTTAATGTAAAGATAAAGGATATGAATGACAATCTGCCTGAAATTGAAATCACCTCCGTGTCAAACACTGTGTCTGAGGACTCAAAGCCTGGCAGTGTGATAGCTCTTCTTAGTGTTACAGATAAAGATTCGGGTCAAAATGGGAAAACAACTCTAAGCATATCATCAGATGTTTCTTTCGAACTAAAGCCATCTTTCAAGGAGAACATTTATTCAGTTGTGACGAAAAACATTTTAGATCGGGAAGAAATGTTTGAATATGAGATTACAATAACAGCGACGGACTGCGGTGACCCTCCACTGTCACATAAGAAAACAATAAAAATACGGATATCTGATGTAAATGACAATAGTCCCATTTTCCCCCAAAATCCATTGCAATTTTACCTTTCAGAAAACAACCCCGCAGGCATGCCGATATTTTCTGTCAGTGCCGGAGACAAAGATGCGAACGGAAACGCAGATATTTCATATAAAATTGCGAAAGAAGGCAGTAAAAAAGACATTTTGTCATTTATAAACATAAACGCTGAAAACGGCCAAATATCTGCGCTGAAAAATTTCGATTTTGAAACTCTGAAAACTTTCCAGTTCCAAGTTGTCGCCACTGATTCTGGGACTCCGTCACTCAGCAGCAACGTCACAGTGAACGTGTTCATACTGGATCAGAACGACAACGCTCCAGTCATCCTGTATCCACTCAGCTCCAATGGTTCTGCTGAAGGTGTGGAGGAGATTCCACGCAACGTGAACGCAGGACACTTGGTGACTAAAGTCAGAGCCTATGACGCTGATATAGGATATAATGGCTGGTTGCTGTTTTCACTGCAGGAAGTTACTGACCACAGTCTGTTTGGTTTGGACCGATACACTGGACAGATCAGAACACTTCGCTCATTCACAGAGACAGACGAGGCTGAACATAAACTGGTCATACTGGTCAAAGATAATGGCAACGTTTCACTATCAGCAACAGCTACCGTGATTGTTAAACTGGTGGAGCCAAAAGAGGCTTTTGCAGCTTCTGATGTTAAAAGTGCAGCAAATGATGATGATGATGATAATCAAGTGACTTTTTATCTGATGATCACTTTGGGTGCAGTTTCAGTTCTATTTATTATCAGTATCATTGTGCTGATTGCAATGCAGTGCTCCAAATCCACAGACTACACTTCTAAATATCTCCAAGAGACTAATTATGATGGGACACTGTGTCACAGCATCCAGTACAGATCTGGAGACAAACGCTACATGTTAGTTGGACCCAGAATGAGTATTGGATCAACTATTGTACCTGGAAGTCATGCAAACACGTTGGTGCTACCTGACAGGAGGAGGGCAACTGAAGAGGTAATGTTTGTTTTAAATTCTAATATGTGAATGTGTCAAAATGCTATTCAAGCCATCATATTTAGAAATGTAAATCTATCAACTGCTCTATAATACTATGCCCCAGAAGTTTCATATTGTTTTGATATGAAATATTTAAAACTGATACTCATGACAAACATTTTCAATTTTATTCTAATGAGATATATTTTAGCAATATACAAGTATTTATTTTTTTTTCTTTTTATATTTATCTAGTAATCTATACCATGATGTGATAATTCTTGACTGAAAATAGATTAAATCATCTCTCCTACCATGCATATGATGTGGCTGGATTTGAATATAAATTTCTTTTTCACTTTTAGAATGATCTTAAATCCCTAGGAGTTTTTTTTCTTTCTTTCTTTATTTCTTTATTTTATCTTTTGAGTTGCTTAATTGACATATTAGGTGTGTTTAATAAACAACCAAGATTTCCCACCAACCCTTTATATCATTCTTGATTTTTCTTTTTTACTTTTGTTTATGTTAATGTCGTTGTGTTTTGCTGTGGCAAATCGTATTTTAAATCTAGATTTTGATGTTTAAAATACCAGCTAATATTGTAGAAGTTCAAAAGAAAACCTAATTCTAAATGGGCACTGACAATTTTCAGGTCTGAAAGGATTCATCTGACGTGAGAATTATTTTTAAATCAAATATTTGCGATAATTCAAGCTGCTGTCATCTTTAAAGACAGACAAAATATTTGACTTAATTCTTTTATGTTTTATTAGACGTTGCCAAAAATTTTTTGTCATAGTTTAATTATTTTTAAGCAATCACAACCTTATCATCATCTACTGATCAAATCTATTGCAGATATATGTATTTAATTTTCAATTCCAAGAGTGGAATAACTTCAAAGATACATGACATACACGATCTGAGTTTAGATTAGGTTATCATAAAAAGTTTATAAAAATTCAACGTTTCACCAGAATTCAGATAATTTCTTATTATTTTCATAAAATATATATTCAGTGAATAATTTTTGAACACACTAGTATCATCAAATTAAACAAACCACAAAACATTTGAAGTTTGTCAATTCAACTGAACTTCAAGCAGTTACAAACTGACGTGGCTTTCTGTCATTTCAAAAATGTTATTGTTATAGTTGTACAGAATCCTGAGGCTGGTAAAACCTTATTTATTTAAAGTGGAAACAGCGGTATGTCTTTTTTCTTTGTATAAGTATTGTAGTGTGCTTAGTCCACTAGGTGTCAGTGTCATCTCAGCATAAATTGAGATTTATGCAGGGTATAGTTGGCCCTGCCCTTCACAATGGTTTTGTTCTAGTCACCAGAAAGGAGAGCTTCCTGGAGGAGAAAACGTTGCTGCGTCGTATAAAATTGATATTATGTGAAGGCTTATTACATTATCTTTCCCAAGAAAAATTGTGAACATACAATGAGCTTGGAGAAGCTGTGAGAAGAGTTTTTTTTTTTTTTTATTCCTTAACATCCCTGAACTGGAATGATGAGACAAGAAGGACAAAGCCGAGGATTACCGGGTTGTTTGGTTGCCGTCAGCGTCTCTTTCATGCTGGGTTGCTTTCCGAGGGTTTCAGCCCAGATAAAATACTCAATTCCAGAGGAAGTAAAAATAGGATCTGTCGTTGGAAATATCGCAAAGGATCTCGGGCTGGACATCAACACCCTGGGAGAAAGACGATTTCGAATCGTTTCGGGAATAAGAGACGGTCAGTTCGATGTCAACCAGAACAATGGCGTGCTGTATGTGCACCAGAATATAGACAGAGAAACTCTGTGTGAAAACGTTTCGCCTTGTTTGATTAATTTAAAATTAGTAGCCGAGAATCCCATGGAAATACATTATGTTGCAATCGAGATTTCTGACATAAACGACAATACACCAACTTTTCAAGAGAATGAAAAAAGAATTGAAATTTCTGAGTCCACTCAGCCAGGCAGACGTTTCCAGTTACCAACTGCTCGCGATCCAGATGTTGTTGTCAACACCATACGTGTGTATAAATTAAGTCAGAATGAACACTTCGGTTTACAAATTCGAGACAGGGGAAATGACAAAGTACCACATTTAGTTTTGCAAAAACCTCTTGATCGAGAAAAATATAATGAACACAGATTGATTCTGACAGCATTAGACGGTGGGAGTCCTCCGAGATCAGGAACTTTAAATGTCACAGTAACTGTCCTCGATTCAAACGACAATCATCCCGTCTTCACGCAAGAGGTATACTCGGTAATATTACCAGAAAATGCAAAAATAGATACGAGGGTAATTACGGTAAATGCTATTGATGCGGATATTGGTTCAAATGCAGAAGTTGAATATTTTTTCGGTGGTGAACATGACCCCCAAACACAAGAGATGTTTAGCTTAGACAAAATCAGTGGTGAAATCAGAGTGAAAGGAGTAATAGATTTTGAAAAAAATGAAGTTTATAAATTAGAAATACGTGCAAATGACAAAGGAACACCTCCCATGGATGCAGATTGTACCGTCCTGATCAAAGTACTGGACGAAAATGATAACAAACCTGAAATCGAGGTCACATCTCTTTCCAAGCAGGTTTCAGAGAGCTCCCGACCTGGAGCTGTAGTTTCTTTAATTAGTGTCACAGACCAGGATTCAGGTTTAAACGGTAAAGTCATATGTAGTCTTTCAGATGACGTGCCGTTTGATTTAAAACCATCGTTTCAGGATAATATGTTCTCTTTAGTTTTAAAACAGCATTTAGATCGAGAGTCAGTTTCTCATTATGACATCACAATAACAGCTACGGACTGCGGTCAGCCTCCTCTATCTGCATTTATAACGCTCAGTATTGATGTGTCAGATACAAATGATAATGCGCCGCAATTCTTATATAATCCAATTGAACTTTATCTGACAGAAAACAACGTCCCTGGGAACCCTATATATTCCGTGTCAGCTTCTGATAACGATCTGGACGAAAATTCAGCTGTAAGTTATCATTTAGTTAGAGAAGAAGGAAGCCAATTAAAAATTATTGCATTTTTAAACGTTAACTCGGAAAACGGAGAAATATATGCGCTGAAAAGTTTCGATTTTGAAACTCTGAAAACTTTCCAGTTCCAAGTTGTCGCCACTGATTCTGGGACTCCGTCACTCAGCAGCAACGTCACAGTGAACGTGTTCATTCTGGATCAGAACGACAACGCTCCAGTCATCCTGTATCCACTCAGCTCCAATGGTTCTGCTGAAGGTGTGGAGGAGATTCCACGCAAACGTGAACGCAGGACACTTGGTGACTAAAGTCAGAGCCTATGACGCTGATATAGGATATAATGGCTGGTTGCTGTTTTCACTGCAGGAAGTTACTGACCACAGTCTGTTTGGTTTGGACCGATACACTGGACAGATCAAACACTTCGCTCATTCACAGAGACAGACGAGGCTGAACATAAACTGGTCATACTGGTCAAAGATAATGGCAACGTTTCACTATCAGCAACAGCTACTGTGATTGTGAAACTGGTGGAGCCAAAAGAGGCTTTTGCAGCTTCTGATGTTAAAAGTGCAGCAGCGGAGAATCAGGAGGATAATGTGACGTTTTACTTGATGATCACTTTGGGTGCAGTTTCAGTTCTATTTATCATCAGTATCATTGTGCTGATTGCAATGCAGTGCTCCAAATCCACAGACTACACTTCTAAATATATCCAAGAGACTAATTATGATGGGACACTGTGTCACAGCATCCAGTACAGATCTGGAGACAAACGCTACATGTTAGTTGGACCGCGGATGAGTATTGGATCTACTATAGTACCCGGAAGTCATGCAAACACTCTGATGCTGCCTGACAGAAGAATGGCCTCTGAAGAGGTAAGAGTTAGCAAATACATATTTACATGCCTGTCTTGCAAGTGTTTTACATTCTTCCAATACATATACCGCAACTCCACTATGGGTGCTTACTTATGTTGTGTTATTTTTTTGTGTGTGTGTAATTTTGTGCATTGCTTAAGAAAAAAAATAATTATTTTTATTAGTCACAATTTCTCAAGTTGAACCATTTTATTATTTATTTTATTCCTAAAATTCCTTTCTCGAGAATAATCACTGAACCCCCACAGGAGCTAGTTTTTCAGCACTTCCGCGATTGCATTTGTCGTGCGTCTTATTTTCACCAGCTTGTTCTTATCTGATATAAAAAAATCGAACAACAAAAACAGATAATTGTTCGAGTCTGCCCGGCTTAAAAGCGTATTTTTAATTATACAAATATAAATATATACATCTTCCTCCATTTGAACGCTTGTTAATGTCTCTTGCGTCACTAAGATTGCATAAGTTTTGTTTTCACTGTTTTGGTTACATGTTGCTTATCATCCGTCCTATTGATAATTGCTTAATCCAGTTAGCCTTACTGCTAATAAAATAACGGTTTTTTTTGTGTGTTTTTTTTTTTTCCGGGCCAGTTTGTGTGTTTTCATAAGTAGCTCTTCAGAATTTCGCTGGATTAATTTTTACTTCCCGATTCGTGTAGCAAGATATTACATTTATTATGTCACCATTCCAAAATACCCTCTAGGTGTCAGCAGTATTCTAAGAATCCAGACAAAACTCGCTCCAGAGGTCTTTTGTTTCACCCGAAAGGAGGAGGGAAGGTATCAGATCTGGGTTTGCGTCTCGATTCCATGAGGCTTTGTATTTAACCATTAGAAGCTGTTGTGGTCATCTGTATATAATGCTGTAGTATATTGTTATACTGCTGCTGGATAATGGGAAACGGAACGCCGAATCAAATGCGGAATTACGTCTGGTGTGCTTTTCCTTTGACCATACTGCTGTTTGTTGGAAACCGGGTTTTGGCAGAGACACGATATTCTGTTGCAGAAGAAGTGAAGGATGGTACTGTTGTGGGTAATGTGGCAAAGGATCTTGGCCTTGAGATGTCTTCTCTGAAGTACCGTCGGTTCCGTGTTGTGTCTGAAAACGACAATGCATTTTTTGACGTAAACCAGGACAGCGGGGACCTTTATGTTGTTCGAAAAATCGACCGAGAGGAGCTCTGTCGGGGAAGTGGCGCATGCTTAATGGAACTGAAGATCATCATAGAAAACCCTTTGGAAATACATTACGTTGTAGTTGAAATCAAGGATGTAAATGATCACTCCCCGGTCTTTCCAGAAAAGGAGCAGAGGTTTGAGATTGGTGAACAAACGCTGCCGGGCAGACGATTTCAATTGCACGCTGCCCGTGATCCCGATTATGGATCTAACGCCATACGTACGTACATACTGACCTCAAATGAACATTTTGAAATAGATATTCGCGTAAGCGACGAAGAAAAAATACCGTTTCTGGTGCTAAAAAGATCCCTCGACAGGGAACAAAAAAGTCATCATTTGCTGCATTTAACAGGGGTTGATGGAGGTAAACCTCCAAGATCAGGGACACTAAATATTTCAATTGTTGTTCTCGACAGTAATGATAATCGTCCAAAATTTAGTGTGGAAACCTACGAAGTTGAAATACAAGAAAATATTCCAGTTGGCACGTCAGTGTTAAGAATAAATGCAACCGATGCAGATGAAGGCGCTAATGGTGAAATTGAATACAGCCTTGGAAAAACACTAAAGAAAAATGTATACGATATTTTTGAACTGGACAAAATAACTGGACTTATCAGAGTTAAAGGTGCCATTGACTATGAAGAAAATGACGTCTATAAACTGGATATTGAGGCATCAGATAAAGGAACGCCTCCATTAACGGGTGAGTGTAGAGTTATTGTAAAAATAAAAGATATGAATGATAATCCGCCTGAAATTGATATTACGTCTCTCTCAAACACCGTGTCTGAAGACTCAAAGCCTGGCACTGTGATTTCTCTAATTAGTGTGAAAGACAAAGATTCAGGTCTCAATGGAAAAATAATGACAAGCATTATATCAGACGTTCCCTTTGAACTGAAGCCTTCCTATAAGCAGAACACATATTCAATTGTAACGAAAGATTATTTGGATCGAGAAGACATTACTCATTATAATATTACTATAAAAGCGACGGACTATGGTGACCCTCCATTATCAACTGTAAAAACCCTTAACCTAGAAGTGACAGACGTAAATGACAACAATCCTCAATTCTCCCAAAATCCAGTTAACGTTTACCTCACAGAAAACAATGTTCCTGGAACTCTCATATTTAGTGTGAGCGCCGCTGACAAAGACTTAGGTGATAATGCAGCTATTGCTTATCGTATTGCAAGAGACGGTCACCAGAACGGGGTCATATCCTTCCTTAGAATAAATTCAGAAAATGGAGAAATATCAGGACTTAAAAGTTTCGATTTTGAAACTCTGAAAACTTTTCAGTTCCAAGTTGTCGCTGCTGATTCTGGGACTCCGTCACTCAGCAGCAACGTCACAGTGAACGTGTTCATTTTGGATCAGAACGACAACGCTCCAGTCATCCTGTATCCACTCAGCTCCAATGGTTCTGCTGAAGGTGTGGAGGAGATTCCACGCAACGTGAACGCAGGACACTTGGTGACTAAAGTCAGAGCCTATGACGCTGATATAGGATATAATGGCTGGTTGCTATTTTCACTGCAGGAAGTTACTGACCACAGTCTGTTTGGTTTGGACCGATACACTGGACAGATCAGAACACTTCGCTCATTCACAGAGACAGACGAGGCTGAACATAAACTGGTCATACTGGTCAAAGATAATGGCAACGTTTCACTATCAGCAACAGCTACTGTGATTGTGAAACTAGTGGAGCCAAAAGAGGCTTTTGCAGCTTCTGATGTTAAAAGTGCGGCAATGGATGACGAGGAAAATAATGTGACGTTTTACCTGATGATCACTTTGGGCGCAGTTTCAGTTCTATTTATCATCAGTATCATCGTGCTGATTGCAATGCAGTGCTCCAAATCCACAGACTATACTTCTAAATATCTCCAAGAGACTAATTATGATGGGACACTGTGTCACAGCATTCAGTACAGATCTGGAGACAAACGCTACATGTTAGTTGGACCCAGGATGAGTATTGGATCTACTATAGTACCCGGAAGTCATGCAAATACTTTGGTGTTACCTGACAGGAGGAGAACATCTGAAGAGGTAAGATTATGTACAGTCTGAAATACTGTTGGTATGCTGTCATTCGCTTTTTGCAGATATTTAACAGCAAAAAAACAAACAAAAATTGTTCATGTTTTTAGAAGAGATCAACAGCAATTTGAATTTTGTTGTTGTTTTCAGTAGATGTATTAGGTTTTCTCATTGTCTAAGGTGCGGCAAATATATTTATTTTAGGATTTTTGTATTTTAGTGACATTGTAAAATCCAAGCTAAGTTCTTTAACTCCGAGTTCCTCAAGCCTGGCCCTATTAGCCCACTGTTTTATGTGAGTTAAATGTTTTTGTTCTCTAGCACTGCTAATTGAAATTATTGCGTCACCATTGAATGCCTTCAATTGCTCCCCAAGCCTGTTGATCATACTTTCATTTAACCCAGATGTGCAGCAGCAGTGTAACTTCAAACACATGCTGGACATTGGGCTCTGGGGAGCCGAGTATCAAGCTCATTTCGCTGTCCATGGTCCTGCCTCGACGGGAAGCTTTTAGAAAATACCAGTTCAAAGCAAACACTTCACTTCGAGTTAGTGATGCTTTTGTGAAGATAAGTTACTTCGGCTTCTTTTTGTTTTAGTTTTTTTTAAGGATTGTTTTAGACTGTTTAAAATTAACCGAACTTTAATTGTGTCAATTTTGGGGGAAGCGTGTCATTTGCAGATGGAGTTCTCAATTTTTTTGTTATTGTTTGTATCATTTCCGTGTTCTCGTCAGACATTGTGCCCATTGATTGACTCACTAGGTGTCAGTGTTACATTAGACAACAATTTAGCCTCCAATCCTAACAGGCTCTGCCCCCCGCAAGTTCTTTTTTTCCCTTCTATTTGAACAAAGAATGGTGATGATTTGGACGTGAAGCGCACGTCCTCCATGCTACCATCATTCTCGGAATCGTATCTTGAAATACTGGATTTGTTTTACGCAGAGGCAATTTGTGGATGGATATTTTTACGATTATGTCAACAGAGAGAAAGGATAAAACGGCACAATGATATATTGGTCTCGTGCTCTGCTTTTGTTGCTGTTTTTCGGGAATACGGGACTGATTTTAGCTCAGATTAAATATTCCACATCAGAGGGGGTAAAAGTGGGAGCTGTGATCGGAAATGTGGCCAAGGACTTAGGCCTCGATGTCAGCACGCTGACCAGTAGGCGTTTTCGCATTGTGTCCGGAGCTCACGGCGCGCTGTTTGAGGTAAACCCGAACAACGGGATTTTATATGTTCGCCAGCATATTGACCGAGAGCAGCTGTGCGACAGAAATATTGCATGTTTAACTGATCTAAAAATCGTTGTTGAAAATCCACTCGAGGTCCACTACGTCTCTGTTGAAATAGTAGATGCAAACGACCACGCACCGACTTTCGCAGAAAAAGAAAAGATAATAGAAATAGCGGAACAGACAGCTGCAGGAACCCGATTCCAATTACCAGGCGCCCACGATCCAGATGTGGGGATAAATTCAATCCAGCGCTATAAACTGAGTCAAAATGATAATTTCCATTTGGAGATTCGAGACAGAGGGGAAGATAAAATCCCCTTCCTAGTTTTACAGAGGCAACTCGATAGAGAGCAGAAAACAAACCACAGCTTAATTTTAACCGCCGTGGATGGAGGCGCACCATCACAGTCAGCACAACTCAACGTTTCGGTGAAGGTTCTTGATACAAACGATAACAGACCTATATTTTCAAAAGAGGTTTATTCTGCTGTTTTGCAAGAAAATGCGGCAATAGATACGGTTGTAATAAAAGTCGAAGCGACTGATCTAGACGAGGGACCTAACGCTGACATAGAGTATGCCTTTGGAACTGATATTAATTCAGACTTGCTAAAACTATTTAGTTTAAACACCAACACGGGAGAAATTCGAGTCAGCGGATTAATTGATTATGAGACGGCTAATGTTTACAAATTAGACGTGCAAGCTTCTGACAAAGGCCAGCCACCAATGACAACTGACTGTAGAGTGATAATCAAGATCCAAGATGTCAATGACAATAAGCCAGAGATAGACATTACATCTTTATCCAGTCTGGTGCCGGAGGATTCAAAGCCCGGCACCGTGATTGCTCTTATCAGTCTTACAGATAGGGATTCTGGTCCTAATGGCAAAGTTCTTTGTCGTCTGACAGATAATGTGCCTTTTGAATTAAAACCATCTTATAAAGAAAATATGTACTCATTGGTCACAAAGGCAAACTTGGACAGAGAAACGTTGTCATATTATGATATCTCAATAACAGCTACTGATTGCGGTGAGCCATCTCTCTCCACTGTAAAAAATGTAATCATTCAGGTTTCGGATGTAAATGACAACACTCCTGTGTTTTTTAAAAACCCTCTCGAATTGTATTTAAAGGAAAATAATGCTCCCGGTGAATCTATATTTTCTGTTAGCGCGCTCGATAATGACTTGAACGAAAATGCTGTCCTGTCCTATCGGTTGCTAAAAAGCGAAGCGGGTCACAGGGAAATAACATCATTTTTGAACATACATGCTGATACCGGGCAAATATCAGCAATGAAAAGTTTCGACTTTGAAACTCTAAAAACTTTCCACTTCCAAGTTGTCGCCACTGATTCTGGGACTCCGTCACTCAGCAGCAACGTCACAGTGAACGTGTTCATTCTGGATCAGAACGACAACGCTCCAGTCATCCTGTATCCACTCAGCTCCAATGGTTCTGCTGAAGGTGTGGAGGAGATTCCACGCAACGTGAACGCAGGACACTTGGTGACTAAAGTCAGAGCCTATGACGCTGATATAGGATATAATGGCTGGTTGCTGTTTTCACTGCAGGAAGTTACTGACCACAGTCTGTTTGGTTTGGACCGATACACAGGACAGATCAGAACACTTCGCTCATTCACAGAGACAGACGAGGCTGAACATAAAACTGGTCATACTGGTCAAAGATAATGGCAACGTTTCACTATCAGCAACAGCTACTGTGATTGTGAAACTGGTGGAGCCAAAAGAGGCTTTTGCAGCTTCTGATGTTAAAAGCGCAGCAAATGACGATGAAGGTAATGATGTGACTTTTTATCTGATGATCACTTTGGGCGGAGTTTCAGTTCTATTTGTCATCAGTATCATCGTGTTGATTGCAATGCAGTGCTCCAAATCTACAGACGATATGTCAAAATATCTCCAAGAGACTAATTATGATGGGACACTTTGTCACAGCATCCAGTACAGATCTGGTGACAAACGCTACATGTTAGTTGGACCCAGAATGAGTATTGGATCTACTATAGTACCTGGAAGTCATGCAAACACACTTGTGCTACCTGATAGGAGAAGAACATCTGAGGAGGTAAGTTTAATTTCTGCTTTTATCGTTTTGCCTTGTTTTATGAAGTTTTTAAAAACAAAAACTGTTTTACTTTGACACGGAAATTTTAATGTAAACCAAATATTATCTTTTCCATACTTACCAATTGTTGAAGAGTAGAACTGTTGTTTTTTGTTGTTGTTGTTTGCTGTTTATTTTTATACTCTCTTTACTTTGTTTGCTTGTTTTCAACAGACCCGAATACAAATAGTTTCACGTGGTTGTCTCCATGTTTTGGTGGTTGCGGTCTTTATAGTACATGGCGCTGAAATCTAGCTGCTCTATAATAAGTGATTCAAACAGTTTTCACTCGCTGCTGAATGCTACAAAGGTAAAGTGAACGTACAGAGAGTAGCGGAATGTGTTTCGTGAATCAACACACCCGAAATCCCTTCTTTTAATATGACTTTATATTTACATATTTTAATAATTATGCAAAATATGCTTGTTCTCAGCGAAGACCTCTGGGTGTCACTATCCGTTTGCAAAATCCTTAGCCAGTCTTTCCCACCCCTTTAGAGCCTTTTCTTTTTTTCTTTTTTTGTCTCATTGTATCGCATCAGGACAATAAACCACACGACTCTTCAAAATAGGCTTTTGATTCTGAAAGCATGCTAAGCTTAAGATATTGCTACAGTCGTTTAATGAACTAAGAGTCAACTGGGATTACACGTATTGCCGTATTAAAATGGACTTCTACGGGAAATGTCGGAGAAGGGATGGCTTCTGGCTGGCTTTTTACTCCGCTTTGCTCCTTTTATCGGAGAAAGAAGCTTCTGCTCAGATACGGTACTCGGTCCCAGAGGAGGTAAAAGACGGAACTGTTGTTGGCAATGTTGCAAAGGACCTCGGACTGGATGTCAGCTTTTTAACCGAACGCCGATTTCGTGTTGTACCTGAAAGTAAGGATCCTATATTTGAAGTAAACCCGAATAATGGGGCGCTATATGTTATTAGCCATATTGACCGGGAGGAGCTCTGTAAAGACAGCGGTTCATGTTTAGTAGAGCAAAAAATCCTTGTTGAGAACCCTTTGGAAATGCACTATGTCACTGTAGAAATTACTGATGTTAATGATAATTTTCCTAGTTTTCCCGAAAAACAACAGAGAATTGAAATAGCGGAACACACGCTTCCTGGAAGGCGATTTCAGCTGCACAATGCTCACGATCCAGACGCCGGAATAAACTCAGTTCGTACGTACACTTTGACACAAAATGAACATTTTGACATAAACATACGTCAAAGCGATACAGGAATGATTCCATTTTTGATCCTAAAGAAATCGTTAGACAGGGAACAAAGAAGCAAACACGAATTAGTGGTGACAGCTGTCGATGGAGGTAAACCTCCGAAGTCCGGGAAATTAAATGTCAACATTATTGTTTTGGACATTAATGATAACCGTCCCGTATTCAGTCAGGAGATATATCAATTGTCAATAGAAGAAAATATTCCTCTCGGCACAACAGTGTTTAGAATGAATGCGACTGATGTCGATGAAGGCATCAACGGGGAAATTGAGTACAACCTTGGAAAAACGTTATTGCGCAAAGTGTTTGATATTTTTGAATTAGACAAAGTAAAGGGAGAAATAGTCGTAAAGGGTTTAGTGGATTATGAAGAAAAAATTTTGTATGAGCTGGATGTTGAGGCATCAGACAAAGGGACACCTCCATTGACCGGTGAGTGTCGATTGATATTAAAGATTTTAGACGTAAATGATAATCCACCAGAAATTCAAATCACGTCCCTGTCAAATACTGTATCTGAGGATTCAAAACGGGGTACAGTTATATCATTACTTAGTTTTTCCGATAAGGATTCCGGTATGAATGGAAAAATAATAGCAAATATAATAAATGATGTACCTTTTGAATTAAAGCCCTCTTATAAAGAAAATATATATTCAGTTGTTGTCAAAGATAATTTGGACAGAGAGGAGGTGTCACATTATGACATCCAAATAAAAATCACGGACTGTGGTGACCCTCCATTATCTACTATTAAAAGCATAAATATTGATGTTTCAGATATAAATGACAACAGTCCTCAGTTTGCTTATAACGTGTTACAAATTTACATAGTGGAAAATAACGTTGCAGGAGGTTCAATATTTTCTGTTAGCGCGACAGACAGTGACTTGAACGAAAACGCAGTCATTTCATACAATATCCGTAGAGAAATAAATGAAAATAGTGTAGCATCCTTTCTAAACATCAACTCGGAAAATGGAGAAATATTTGCTCTAAAGAGTTTTGACTTTGAAACTCTGAAAACTTTCCACTTCCAAGTTGTCGCCACTGATTCTGGGACTCCGTCACTCAGCAGCAACGTCACAGTGAACGTGTTCATTCTGGATCAGAACGACAACGCTCCAGTCATCCTGTATCCACTCAGCTCCAATGGTTCTGCTGAAGGTGTGGAGGAGATTCCACGCAAACGTGAACGCAGGACACTTGGTGACTAAAGTCAGAGCCTATGACGCTGATATAGGATATAATGGCTGGTTGCTGTTTTCACTGCAGGAAGTTACTGACCACAGTCTGTTTGGTTTGGACCGATACACTGGACAGATCAGAACACTTCGCTCATTCACAGAGACAGACGAGGCTGAACATAAACTGGTCATACTGGTCAAAGATAATGGCAACGTTTCACTATCAGCAACAGCTACTGTGATTGTTAAACTGGTGGAGCCAAAAGAGGCTTTTGCAGCTTCTGATGTTAAAAGCCCAGCAACGGAGAATCAGGAGGATAATGTGACGTTTTATCTGATGATAACTTTGGGCGCAGTTTCTGTTCTATTTATCATCAGTATCATCGTGCTGATTGCAATGCAGTGCTCCAAATCCACAGACTATACCTCTAAATATCTCCAAGAGACTAATTATGATGGGACACTGTGTCACAGCATCCAGTACAGATCTGGAGATAAACGATACATGTTAGTTGGACCCAGAATGAGTATTGGATCTACTGTAGTACCCGGAAGTCATGCAAATACACTTGTGCTACCTGACAGGAGGAGAACATCTGAGGAGGTAGGCAATGTAATTATTTCTCATTTCATTTGGAATTGTTTGCTGCATCCCATCGGACAAATTACACAATTAGTGACTTAAAACAAACAAACAAACAAACAAACAAACAAACAAACAAACAAAAAAACAACAACAACAAAACCTTGCAAATTTGTAGAGATAAGTTACTCTGCCATAAAGATATTGATTTGTGTGTTTGATTTTTTTTGTCATCAAATACTAGAGTAAAAACTATTCTGTGCAACACACCTTTCAAACAATTTCATGTTGGAGGTTCTTGGGAATATCTGCTGAAACTGAATGATCCGTTAAACTTGTGTTTTTTTTCGTTTAGTTCTACTGATGTCTTTTATGCATTTCCAATGTGCCTTCTGATCACGAGTTAAACTGATTAAATAAATTTGTAACTAACCTCGTAACCTTCATATTTTGCATCATATCAGCTATATTTTTGTAATTCTGACACAAGTTTGTCGCTCTTTTTTTTCTTCTTTCTTAACCGCGGGATAATGATATACATTTTTGAATTTGCATGATCGTATTAAAAGCGGAATAAATTAAATAGTATGCAATGTTTCCCTCTTGGTGTCACTACAGCACCGCAAACCGTTAAGAGTCATGGTTCCTCCCACTAGTAAAATCTTTTGTTAGGCTGCTGATAGCCGGAGACGTCGGAAACATAAGAGGAAGGGACGGATGGTATCATATTTGATCGGATTTGGAAACTGGAACTGACATAAAAGAAGAAAAAAAAAGGACGTGTGAGGCTGGAAACAATGGAGACACAGTTTACATCATCTAACCGTGGCTGGTTTGGTTTTTATTTCACCATACTGCTGATTGTCGCGGAACAAGTTCTGGCTGAACTGAGGTACTCCATCCCAGAGGAGGCGAAAGATGGAACCGCTGTGGGATATATCGCAAAAGATCTTGGTTTGGATAAAGCCTCGTTAGTTGATCGTCGGTTTCGTGTTGTGCCTGGATCCAAGGAGGCATATTTTGAGGTGAATTCAGACAATGGCGCTCTGCAGGTTCGTAGAAAAATTGACAGAGAGGAAATTTGTCACGGCAGTGGCGCATGCCTAATGGAGCTGAAAATTCTCGTTGAAAATCCCTTGGAAATGCATCATGTTGTTGTCGAAATAGCAGATGTGAATGATCATTATCCCAGCTTTTCTGAAAACGAACAAACGTTTGAAATAGGAGAACAGTCATCACTAGGAACAAGATTTCAGTTGGACGCGGCCCGTGATCCGGACGCTGGAATAAACTCCATCCGCACGTACACATTAACGTCAAACGATCATTTTGATATTGAGGTGATCCAGAGTGAGGAGGAGAAAGTGCCATATTTAGTATTGAAAAAATCATTAGACAGAGAACAAAAGAAAAAGCACGTGTTTATTTTAACAGCTGCTGATGGAGGCAAACCTCCAAAATCGGCGACCCTTAATATTTCCATAATTGTCCTTGATAGTAATGACAACCGCCCAGCATTCAATAAAGAGACTTATCAAATTGAAATTCAAGAAAATACATTAGTTGGCACAACTCTTACAACATTAAACGCAACGGATCCAGATGAAGGAACAAATGGGGAGATAGAGTACAGCCTTAGCAAAACACTGCCGCGTAAAGCATATGAAGTATTCCGGTTAGATAGCGTGAGTGGAGAAATAACACTAGAACATGCTCTAGATTTTGAGGATTCTGACACCTTTAAGCTAGATGTCCAAGCGTCTGACAAAGGACAGCCTCCACTTATAGGGAGATGCAGAGTTATTATAAAGATAAAAGACGTGAATGATAACGCTCCAGAAATAGAAGTCACGTCACTGTCAGACACTGTTTCTGAAGATTCAAAGCCTGGTACGGTGATTTCACTTGTTAGTGTGACGGATAAAGATTCAAGTGTTAACGGAAAGGTGATAGTAGAGATAGCTGGCAATGTGCCGTTTGAGCTGAAGCCTTCCTACAAGGAGAACATTTACTCCGTTGTCACCAAAGATTTTCTGGACAGAGAAAAAGAGCAACAATACGAGATAACAATAAAAGGAACGGATTGCGGCGACCCGCCATTATCTGCGGTTAAAATTCTCAGAATTCAAATATCAGATGTGAATGATAACAGACCGCAATTCTCACAAAACCCGTTACAATTTTACTTGAAAGAGAACAACGTTGCTGGCGCTTCAATTTTCTCAGTAAGTGCGACAGATAATGACGTCAACAAAAACGCAGCTGTGATATATAATATATTCAGACAAAATGACGTGACAAGCTTCTTGAATGTGAATTCTGACACCGGGCAAATATCTGCGCTTAAAAGTTTCGACTTTGAAACTCTGAAAACTTTTCAGTTCCAAGTTGTCGCCACTGATTCTGGGACTCCGTCACTCAGCAGCAACGTCACAGTGAACGTGTTCATTCTGGATCAGAACGACAACGCTCCAGTCATCCTGTATCCACTCAGCTCCAATGGTTCTGCTGAAGGTGTGGAGGAGATTCCACGCAACGTGAACGCAGGACACTTGGTGACTAAAGTCAGAGCCTATGACGCTGATATAGGATATAATGGCTGGTTGCTGTTTTCACTGCAGGAAGTTACTGACCACAGTCTGTTTGGTTTGGACCGATACACTGGACAGATCAGAACACTTCGCTCATTCACAGAGACAGACGAGGCTGAACATAAACTGGTCATACTGGTCAAAGATAATGGCAACGTTTCACTATCAGCAACAGCTACTGTGATTGTGAAACTGGTGGAGCCAAAAGAGGCTTTTGCAGCTTCTGATGTTAAAAGTGCAGCAAAGGATGATGAGGATAATGATGTCACGTTTTACCTGATGATCACTTTGGGGGCAGTTTCAGTTCTATTTATCATCAGTATCATTGTGCTGATTGCAATGCAGTGCTCCAAATCCACAGACTATACTTCTAAATATCTCCAAGAGACTAATTATGATGGGACACTGTGTCACAGCATCCAGTACAGATCTGGAGACAAACGGTACATGTTAGTTGGACCCAGAATGAGTATTGGATCTACTATAGTACCTGGAAGTCATGCAAACACACTTGTTTTGCCTGACCGGAGGAGAACATCAGAAGAGGTAGGCAATTTACTTTTATTTATTTATTTATTTATTTGGGTTTCTGTATTATTATTTTTACATAGCTATTATATCGTTGATATCAGATCATTTTGGATAACATGGAATGTTTTTAATTTTGTTTTGATCAATAATTTTGTCAAAGTGTATCTTCTTGTTGTTGATACGCAGAGGTTTAAACTTCCAAATATGTCTTACTTTGCTAACACACAAAACTACATTTGCCAGCATTTTATTGTTATTATTATTTTTGTCAATTTTCAGTTATTCTGAAATTATCGTTTGAACAGTCACTCCACCTTTCAATTTCGTTGCGCATCGATGAATGCAGTGTTATCCACCAAAATCCCAATAACTTGTAAAGGCAGATTTTTAAAGTAGTTTAATCCTTTTGCATTAGGTGTGGTAAAGTGCAGAAGTTAGTATGCACGTTACAACACCTTAACAAAAATGTATTTGGTGCAGCGAATTGTGAAAATAGCGTCAAACTCTGTCCGTGGTACTAAAGTCAACTGCTTCGCACGAGAAAGAGGAACAAGATTAAGTCTGAGAGACAGATCAAACGGAACAAGAACGGATCATACAAATGCAAGACAGTGGTAGCGCTCACTCTGAAAAGCGACTGTAATCATAAACCTGGCTTTTTTTGGTCTGCAGCAAAGGTTGACGAGAATAAAGATGTTTTGTGTTAACTGATGATCAGTTAAGTGTTTAATTTTTCGATAATCATTTTCTTCATCTTTTTTACAGTGCATTTTCATATCTGAAGACTTCACTTGCTTTTTCATGTTGAAGACTATTCACTTTGCACCGTACAGTCTGACTTGGTTGTAATAGTTTTTTCACTATAAAGTTTTATTCAAATAGATTTCTGATTTTCACGGCCACGTAAAACGCGATTTAAGTTGATTCTCCAATGGCAAGTTTCACTGTATCTGGTAAATACCTGGTTCGGCTGGCGCGTCACCGTGACGCTCTGTTACGTTGTAAAGTGGGCAGGAACTCGGGAGGGATGTGAGGGCGCAAAAGATGAAGTCGATTCTCCGAGTATGTTTGCAGCAATGGAGAAAGTTGTAGTTTTGAAGAGCTCAAACGAGCGCATTTTTTTCATTACGTTTTATAGGAATCCACTACTGACTCAAACATAAAGAAAATGGTTCAGGTTAGCCTATATTTTTTCGTTCCATATTAAATTTATAATAATACTGCGTCACACTGAGCAGTTCTGTGATATCAAACGGTATTTAAAATCGTCCATTGTTATGGTTGATATGTTGTTGTTTGGATTCTGCTACGACCAATATCACGGGTCAATCCGTGCGTTGAGTCTGCTGTCAGTCAAATCTCTTGGATGCAATTTGTGGATTCACTCGGTTTGTATTACCCCGGAAGTGAGTAGAAAACAGTCAAGAGCCGAGCAGGATGTCCTAATAGAGCTGAATCTGGCCGGGTGGACTCGGGTCAGAACACCGTAAAAGTCTCTTATTGCTTCTGGAAGTCTATTCTTCCCTGAAAAGGTTGCTGATAGGTCCTGAAGTTTCGTTTTTCACATTTTTCACGTCCTTGAAGTGTAGATGTAATTATTTTTAAATCCTTCCGGCAGATTTCAATGAACAGTTGTAAAACATTTTTTTTACGTTTTAAGGAGACTTCAATGCATCAAGGTGCATTTTCAAACAGAATCCAAAAATACACCTTACATTTTTTATTTTATCTTATTTTATTTTAATAGATTTTTTTACTGTAACGATTGCTTAAATGATCAAGTAGCGCACTAGTGGAGAAACACATCTGTGTAATAAGAGTATTTAGTTGTGTCTGATGCTGAATTACTTAATTGCAAGGAGGTTAAAATGAAAGACGGTTTGCATTTCACATATATATATTTTTTCCACATGGTTTTCTGGCAGATTGAAACTTAACTGAAATGCGTGCGTCGCTGGTATTGCAAGTTGAAGACATATTCCAAGTTGTACATAAAAACAAAACAAAAAAAAAACAAAACACGCATATTAAGGTAATAAGAAAGATATATTTTTGGCTTTATGCATTAACTAGACTAACTAGAATGTTACGTGGTTGTATTCCTGTCTTGACTTTTGGATCTGCATAACGCATACCTTTCAGCAGCATATTACAGGACTCAAAGATTATTCAAAAACTGATCTGTAATGTCCACTTGGTGTCGTTGCAATACAACATTCCTGATTTAGACTGTCCCTAGACTGTCTGTCATCAAATCTTTTGTTTGCACGGCGGATGGTGGATCGGATGGAAGAATTAAAGCAATCCTAGTGCACAATCTGAATTAGAAAATTAATCCATGGACAAACAGAGAAAAACGTAATATGCTGTGAAATAATGGCGACCTGGAGCCGATCGAATGACCACAGTTGGGCTGTTTTTCTTTTACACTTTCTACTGATTTTCACGAAGCAAGCTGCGGCTGAACTGAGGTACTCCGTTCCGGAGGAGGTGAAAGAGGGAACCGTCATTGGAAATATTGCCAAGGATCTTGGTCTGGAGAAAGTACATTTAACCGATCGACGCCTGCGTATTGTTTCGGGATCTGAAAATGCTTTTTTCAATGTTAATACGAATACTGGCGCCTTGCAGGTTCGTAGAAAAATTGACAGAGAAGAGCTATGTCACGGTGATGGTGCATGCTTAATGGAGCTAAAGATCATTGTTGAAAACCCGCTAGAAATGCACCACGTTGTTGTGGAAGTTGCAGATGTAAACGATCACTCCCCGAATTTTCTAGATAAACAGCAACATTTTGAAATAGCAGAACATACGGCTGTCGAATCACGATTTCAGCTGCTAGCGGCAACTGACCTCGATATAGGCGTGAATTCAATCCGCGCCTACACGTTATCATCAAATGATTATTTTGATATAGACGTAAGTCAAAGTGACGAAGACAAAATACCATTTTTAGTTCTAAAGAAGCCACTGGACAGAGAAAAAAGAAAGAAACTTATACTGTTAGTAACAGCAATTGATGGAGGAAAACCTCCGATATCAGCAACACTTAATGTTTCAGTCACTGTGCTTGATATTAACGATAATCGTCCATCCTTTAGCCAGGACGTTTACCAAGTAGAGATAAATGAAAATGTATCAGTTGGCACTGTTGTTGCACAAGTTTCTGCAACAGATCCAGACGAGGGAAATAACGGAGAAATTAAATACGGTATTGCAAAGGCTTTACAACCAAAAATACATGAAACATTTGAAATTAACTCATTAACAGGGGAAATTAAATTAAAAGCACTTCTTGATTTTGAGGAATTTGAAATTTACAAAATTGATATTGAAGCATCAGACAAGGGAACGCCTCCGTTAACAGGGAGGTGTAGAGTGGTTGTAAAGATAAAAGATGTAAACGATAACTCACCAAAGATAGATGTTACATCTCTTTCAAATACAATATCAGAAGATTCAAAACCTGGAACAGCAATTTCTCTTATCAGTGTAACAGATAAAGACTCTGGTCTTAATGGAAAGATTATTTCACGCATACTTAATGATGTACCTTTTGAATTGAAGCCATCCTACAAGGAAAACATGTATTCACTTGTAACAAAAGAACATTTAGATAGAGAGAAGGTTTCTCTTTACGAAATATTAATACAAGCCACTGATTGCGGTAATCCAACATTATCTACGGTGAAAACCATCAGTATTCAGGTTTCCGATGTGAATGACAACAGTCCTCGTTTCGAAAAAAGTCCATTGCAGTTTTATTTATCAGAAAATAATGTTGCTGGGGCAACCGTATTTTCTGTAAGCGCAACAGACATTGATGTGAACGAAAATGCAGCCATTTCCTATTATATTGTGAGAGAAGGAAGTAAACACGATGTGACGGCATTTATAAATATTAACTCAGAAAATGGACAAATAGCAGCGCTAAAGAGTTTCGACTTTGAAACGCTAAAAACTTTCCAGTTCCAAGTTGTCGCCACTGATTCTGGGACTCCGTCACTCAGCAGCAACGTCACAGTGAACGTGTTCATTCTGGATCAGAACGACAACGCTCCAGTCATCCTGTATCCACTCAGCTCCAATGGTTCTGCTGAAGGTGTGGAGGAGATTCCACGCAACGTGAACGCAGGACACTTGGTGACTAAAGTCAGAGCCTATGACGCTGATATAGGATATAATGGCTGGTTGCTGTTTTCACTGCAGGAAGTTACTGACCACAGTCTGTTTGGTTTGGACCGATACACTGGACAGATCAGAACACTTCGCTCATTCACAGAGACAGACGAGGCTGAACATAAACTGGTCATACTGGTCAAAGATAATGGCAACGTTTCACTATCAGCAACAGCTACTGTGATTGTGAAACTGGTGGAGCCAAAAGAGGCTTTTGCAGCTTCTGATGTTAAAAGTGCAGCAAGTGACGATGAGGGAAATGATGTGACTTTTTATCTGATGATCACTTTGGGCGCAGTTTCAGTTTTATTTATTATCAGTATCATTGTTCTGATTGCGATGCAGTGCTCCAAATCCACAGACTATACTTCTAAATATGTCCAAGAGACTAATTATGATGGGACACTGTGTCACAGCATCCAGTACAGATCTGGAGACAAACGCTACATGTTAGTTGGACCCAGAATGAGTATTGGATCTACTATAGTACCTGGAAGTCATGCAAATACACTTGTGCTACCTGACAGGAGAAGAACATCTGAAGAGGTAGGAACATCTCTATTAATGCATAACAAGTTTGGAAAGAAATGCTGTGTTTTTTTGTTTGACTTGGTTTCAGTGATCTGTTTTGATGAGAACCAAAATAATATTTTTAAAATTCTATCACTTTTATTTCAATGCATTCTGGGTCTATTGCTGTTCCTTGGTATTGATTAAAAAACAAACAAAAAAAAAACTATTTGATTAAAGATTGAAGAGTTATTTACACTACTCCTTTTCCTTTAATAGATAGTTTTGTGTGTTTCTCTCAAGGTGTCGGTACACTGACAGTATAATGCTTTTTACATTCTCCTCTGCCTGTTATGAGATGCAGAAACCATCTCCTTCTTTCAAGTTTCGCATTTTGTTGATGATGTCTGGAGAACTGAAACGGGACCAGTTTAGTTGATTAACTAAGATAGAACATTGTGTTACAGAATACAGTTTAGATTCGCAGGCAAACTACGTGTTAGTTGAACCCCAGATGAGCATGCAATGTACTATAGTATTGAAAATTCATGCAATATACTGGTACGACCAGAAAGAAGAAGAGCATCTGAAGTACTAGCTCGTTCAATTGGAAACTTTGGCTTATTTTAGTTTTGACTCCTTTCACTCATCGACTTCTCTTGTGACTGATTCACTTCATAAATTTATTGCAATAATAAATTAGGACTAAGAAAGTTTTAGACTTGGAATTTATGCTCTTTAAATGAATAGTCTGTCAGTATTCATTTCCATTTTTACATATGCATACCTCTCAGTTCAGGCTTTTTTTGGCAGCTAACAGAATCATTGAGTGCTTTTTAAAACAATATGATGTAGCTTAAAGCACTTACAGAAAAGTTTATGTTTTTAACATTTACTAAAAATGTATGTAATTTTAAACATTGTTCAGTTGTTTCTAAATTGTGTTCTAAATACATATTTGTCACCGTATTCTAGATCTTGCTTGATAAATCTGTCTTGTTAACCACAAAACATTGAAGTTAGTATTTTTTTTGTTTGCTTTTTTTTTTCTTTAGAAATGTGTAAACAAACATTTTGTCGTACAGTCATGCTTCCTATCAGTTACTATATAATGTAGCTATTTCACGAAAGGCTAAAGCACTTCAATGCTTTACCAGAACATATTTAGGTTCACCGGGTAGATAGTGTGGAAAGAGCATGATTAGCTGTCCGTGGTGCTGATTTCAATTGCTTTTTTCGAAAACAGTGTTGGAGAGAGAAAGAGTAGTTTATATAGATTTGGTTTGAGTAAAATATTTTACAAAACACACTGAGTCCTCAATGTTTTTTTGTGTGCGTTATATTATAAGCTGTTCAGGTCATAACAAAGCAGACATTCACCCGCAATGATGTAGGTTTAATGTCTGAGGAATTTCATTGTTCACTTGTTGCCTCAATGAGTGTGTTTAATGAAAGGAAAGAAAACAAAGCCGTGTTAGTTTGCAGTTCCCACAGACACGATAAACCATGTTTGTCCACAAGGTGTCGCTGCAATATAACCACGTCACCGCAGAGGCTCCCTTATCAGACCAAGTCTTTTGTTTGCTCTTCCACCACACACGGCACTTTTGATGAAAGAACGGGAGATTTAAGAATCCGTGTCGGGATTTAATATAGATCATAATAATCGTCGCAAATGATACACCACGAGCGCATGTGAGGCTTATTAACGATGGGAAACTGGAAGCTTTCGAGCGACTGCGATTGGCACGTTTTTCTTTTACATTTTCTGCTGATTTTTGCGCAGCAGGCTGCGGCTCAACTGAGGTACTCTGTTCCAGAAGAAGTGAAAGAGGGAACCGTGATTGGAAATATTGCGAAGGATCTCGGTCTGGAGAAATCACATTTAAGTGATCGACGGCTCCGTGTTGTTTCGGGATCTGAAAACACGTTGTTTGATGTTAATTTGGAAAATGGAGCATTACAGGTGCGTAGAAAATTTGACAGAGAGGAGCTTTGTCATGGTGAAGGCGCATGCCTCGTGGAGCTCAAAATTATTGTTGAAAATCCGTTGGAGATGCACCACGTTGCTGTTGAAATTACGGATATCAATGACCATCCCCCAAATTTTACAAAAACGGAGCAACGTTTTCAAATAGCTGAACACACTGCCTTAGGGACACGATTTCAGCTGCCAATGGCCCGGGACCCCGATGCAGGAGTGAATTCAATACGATCATACGCGTTATCATCAAATGACTATTTTGTTATAGATCTAAGCCAAAGCGATGAAGACAAAATACCATTTTTAGTGTTAAAGAAGCCTCTAGACAGAGAACAACATAAGAAGCTTGTATTGTTTGTTACAGCAATAGATGGAGGAAAACCTCCGAGATCAGGAACACTTAATGTTTCAGTCACTGTGCTTGATAGTAACGATAATCGTCCATCCTTTAGCCAGGAGGTTTATCAAGTACATATATATGAAAATGCTTCAGTAGGAACTATTGTTACAACTGTTAATGCAACAGATCCAGATGAGGGAACAAACGGAGAAATTGAGTACAGCATTGCTAATACACTGGCACCTAAAATATATAGCATATTTGAATTGGAGAAGTTGACAGGTCAAATCATATTAAAAGCAGCTTTGGACTTTGAGGAATCAGAAAGCTACAAAATTGACATTGAAGCATCAGACAAGGGAACGCCTCCGTTAACAGGGAGGTGTAGAGTGGTTGTAAAGATAAAAGATGTAAACGATAACTCACCAAAGATAGATGTTACATCTCTTTCAAATACAATATCAGAAGATTCAAAACCTGGAACAGCAATTTCTCTTATCAGTGTAACAGATAAAGACTCTGGTCTTAATGGAAAGATTATTTCACGCATACTTAATGATGTACCTTTTGAATTGAAGCCGTCCTACAAGGAAAACATGTATTCACTTGTTACAAAAGAACATTTAGATAGAGAGAAGGTTTCTCTTTACGAAATATTAATACAAGCCAGTGATTGCGGTAATCCAACCTTATCTACGGTGAAAACAATCAGTATTCAGGTTTCCGATGTGAATGACAACAGTCCTCGTTTCGAAAAAAGTCAATTGCAGTTTTATTTATCAGAAAATAATGTTGCTGGGGCAACCGTATTTTCTGTAAGCGCGACAGACATTGATGTGAACGAAAATGCAGCCATTTCCTATTTTATTGTGAGAGAAGGAAGTAAACACGATGTGACAGCATTTTTAAATATCAACTCAGAAAATGGACAAATAGCAGCGCTAAAGAGTTTCGACTTTGAAACTCTGAAAACTTTCCAGTTCCAAGTTGTCGCCACTGATTCTGGGACTCCGTCACTCAGCAGCAACGTCACAGTGAACGTGTTCATTCTGGATCAGAACGACAACGCTCCAGTCATCCTGTATCCACTCAGCTCCAATGGTTCTGCTGAAGGTGTGGAGGAGATTCCACGCAACGTGAACGCAGGACACTTGGTGACTAAAGTCAGAGCCTATGACGCTGATATAGGATATAATGGCTGGTTGCTGTTTTCACTGCAGGAAGTTACTGACCACAGTCTGTTTGGTTTGGACCGGTACACTGGACAGATCAGAACACTTCGCTCATTCACAGAGACAGACGAGGCTGAACATAAACTGGTCATACTGGTCAAAGATAATGGCAACGTTTCACTATCAGCAACAGCTACTGTGATTGTGAAACTGGTGGAGCCAAAAGAAGCTTTTGCAGCTTCTGATGTTAAAAATGCAGCAAAGGATGAAGAGGAAAATTATGTGACTTTTTACCTGATGATCACTTTGGGCGGAGTTTCAGTTCTATTTATCATCAGTATCATCGTGCTGATTGCAATGCAGTGCTCCAAATCCACAGACTATACTTCTAAATATGTCCAAGAGACTAATTATGATGGGACACTGTGTCACAGCATCCAGTACAGATCTGGAGACAAACGCTACATGTTAGTTGGACCCAGGATGAGCATTGGATCTACTATAGTACCTGGAAGTCATGCAAATACTTTGGTGTTACCTGACAGAAGGAAAACGTCTGAAGAGGTAAGACATTTACTTGAAATTATTGTTTTATATTAATCTTTCGTTGCTGCTGTTTTTTTATTTTTTTTTATTGTATTATACATTTTCAGACTTTTTCGTTTTATTTGAATATTAGTAATAGCCCATTTGTTTATTTTGTATATGCGTGTGTGTCATAAGTTGATTTCTTCCTGACTTACTAATAATCCTAAGTATGAGAACTTGAGTGGGTTGTTTCTAATTCTAGAGATTAAAAAGTTTTTTTTGTCTCTTTTTTGTTGTAGATACTTTCTTGTTTCCTCATCTTTTTTATTTTTATTTTTTATATTGATAACGTTTTATGTGCATAAAAATATTGTTGCCCCCAAATAACTTTTAAATTTTTTTTAGTATTGTGTAAAATATTTGGTGTATTTTCACTTTTTTTGGTAGTTTCTACATAATCTGGGTTGTTTGCAGTAAGTTTGTAAACTGAAATAATTTTAAATCCTCAGAAGGCATTTGTGTGCAGTGAGCTGACTGCGGAAATGGGGTCGTTTGCTGTCCATGGTGCTGAATTCAATATGCTCATTGGAACAAAGACTGGCAGATAATAGGTACATAGACTAAGATGAGTGGAATTTTTCACGGAACTGGGCGATGTTTTATTATGTTATCAAGGAGATAGAATATATGGTTATCTGTTGTTAATGTAAAAGAACGATGTTCAAGTCACAACTATGCAAAGAGCTTGCCCGACATGATTCCTGTTTATTAACTGAACTAATGCACGGTTGACCAGTTGTCTAGAAATGTTGATTTTTCTGAACGCAGAAGAGACAAAGCTTTGCCACTGAGCAGTTTTCATAAAATAAACAAATAAACTATGTTGTCCACAAGGTGTCGTTGTAATACATTCAAACCTGCAGAGACACTCCATACCCAGACCAAGCCTTTTGTTTGCTGTTCCACCACACAGAGCATTTTTGATGAAAGAACGAGAGACGTAGCGTCTCATGACGGAGTTTGCTTAAGAGAAAAAATCATCGCCATAAATATTACACCTGGAGTGAATGTGAGGCTGAATGACGATGGCAAACTTGA